CCCCCCCCAGAACCCCTGCCCCATCCAACCACCCCTTCTCCCTGACCTCCCCCAGAACCCCTGCCCCATCCAACCACCCCTTCTCCCTGACCACCCCCGGAACCCGTGCCCCATCCAACCACCCCTTCTCCCTGACCACCCCCAGAACCCCTGCCCCTGACTGCCCCCTGCCACCCCATCCAAACCCCCCTCCTTCCTGACTGCCCCCCCGGGACCCCTGCCCCCATTCAACCCCTGTTCCCTGCCCTCTGACCGCCCCGACCCCTATCCACACCCCTGCCCACCACCCCGAACTCCCCTGCCCTCTATCCAACCCCCCCCTGCTCCCTGCCCCCTTACCGCACTGCCTGGAGCACCGGTGGCCGGCGGCGCTACAGCCGCACTGCCCAGACCACCAGGACAGGCAGCCGCGCCGCCTGGCTGGAGCCAACCATGCCACCATACAGCACAGAGACCGGGTCAGGCCGCGCGCCGGCGGTGCAGTGAGCTGAGGCTGGAGGGAAGGGGAATAGAGGGGGAGGGGCCGGGGGCGAGCCTCCCGGGCCAGGAGCTCAGGGGCCGGGCAGGAGGGTCCCGTGGGCTGGATGTGGCCCGCAGGCCGTAGTTTGCCCACCTCTGGGCTAGGTGATTGGGTGATTCCTTCTGACTGTAAACTCTATGACTCTGTAACTGCTCACAAGTGAGAGAACCTGCTCTCTGGGATATCCCGCCTTGCTCACGGGACCCACGCACCCTGTACCTGAGCAAGGTCTCGCAGCGTCTGCTGGAGCATCTCCGACTCCGTCCGCAAGGCCTCGATCTCCTCGGCCTCCAGCGCTGCCTGCTCCTGCGCCCGCGCGGCCTCCTGAAAGCAGAGACGCGGCATCAGCCAGGCAGCGCGCATGCCCCCCACGTCCGCTCAACGGCTCGTTTCTGGCTCCAGCTCTCAGCTGTGCCCATAAGGCCGATCAGCCGGGAAGGGCAGGCTGACTGCTGGTGAGCCCTTCCCCGGAGCACAGGTACCAGAGCGGGCGGCTCTGCCGAGGATCAATCGCTGTTTCAGGTGCTCCCGTCTCCTCTGGGAACCAGCCAAGTCACGCTGAGTCTCTCACCAGAGTTTCCAGCTTCTGGGTCAGCGTCTCGATCGTCTTCTCCTTCTCCAAGTTCTGGGCTTTCAAGCGTTCCATGGTGGCCGTCGTCTCAGCGATTCTGGAGCAAGGGAGGGGGGCCGGTCAGGGCGAGCAGAGGAACGGCCAGGGGCGCGTACTATACGGCACAGGGCCAGAGCCCAATGGACATGGGCCCAGTCAAGCGTATGGAGATCCCTGGTGCCCCAGCCGTGCTAGAGAGAGGGTTACCGCTCCACGTTTGATCCGGGGACTGAGACGCTTCATGCCGACAGTGCCCTGGGAAAACCCCCACCCCATTATCTCAGCCCTGGCTGGAGCACATGGCCGTTTCCTCTCCACTGTCCCACTAACATCCTCCACATACACCACGTCCCCTCCCCACGGCGCTGAGCTTGCCCAGCTGATGTCTAGTAAGAGGCGGTGGGAGACCAGGCCACACCCCATGTCCTGGGCCTGGCACCTGGGGACCCAAAGGAATGGCTCTGCGGGGAGCCTCTGATCGGCTGGAACCAGGAACCACGTTACTCTCCAGCAGTGATGCTCAGACTCCGGCTCCGGAGCCGCGAGCGGCTCGTTAACGTGTCTCCTGCGGCTCTTTGCCGCACGCGCTATTAAACCACCGCGGGATGTGATTGTTGACCTACGTTATTAACCAATCGGGAGGCTTTTCCGATGTTATTAACCAATCGTAGTTGATAAAATCACAACACTGGGTCAGAATAACCAAGAATATGTAAACAGTGAATCCCCACGACAGGGGCTCTTTTGGGTAATGCCAAGCGCTAATTTGGCTCCTGGAAAATCCGAGGCCGCCACCCCTACCCAGGCCTGTATGAGATTTGAACTGGCCACCACCACGTTCTGAGACCACTGCACTGACCCCCGGAGCTACAGAGCCAGGCCCCAGGTCGCCTGACCCATTGAGGTCTGAGTATCGCCACTCTACAGGATTCAGCCTGCAGGGAGGTGGAAAGTTAAGGCTCCGGGATGGTCGTAACATGGAACAGATGGGCCCCCTCTGCCCTTCCTTCTCCCATGAGCAGGATATGCTCAGCCCAGAGCCCCAGGATCTCCAAGGTTGCTGGAGGGGCAGCGCTCCCTGATTCCCACACGGTGCCTCTCCCGGCCCGGTGAGCTCCAAGCTTCAGGGCCTGGGACACTGGCCCCGATCGGGGGCATCCGTACCTGGTGCCGAGCTCCGCTTTCTCCATGTCGCACCTGACCTGCAGCTGGATCATGTCGCGCACCTTGTCCTTCAGCTGCTCCTCCAGCTGGGCCAGCAGCAGAGCCTGCTTCTCCAGGGCCGCGCCGGCGCTGCTCTCCGACAGACGCAGGTTGCTGCTCAGGTTCAGGCAGGCGGCGTGGATGGTGCGGCTGGACCTGGACAGCGCGTTGTTCAGCTCCGACAGGTCCCTGCACCGGAGTCCCAAAGAGAGGGGCGTTTCCGGGGGCCCGAGCACCCCACGCTGCTGGATCTACAGAACCCCACGCCCCATCACCTGCAGGGCATCTTCTTCGAAGGGGGCCTGGCTGGGATCTAAACCCATGGAGCCTGAGTGTTCAGAACCTGCACCACCCCCGCCAGGGAGAAGGTCATTATAGGCCCCCAGGCAGGACACGCAGAGAAGCAGAAATCAGGCCGGGCAGCCGAACGTGGCTCCCAGGGCCGGCTAACGTGTTTGTCTGGGTGGTGCAGGGGAGATCGGGAGGGCTGTTCTGTACTCAGGTTGTTCTCACAGGGATCCTGGAGGAGGCGCTGTACGCCACGGGGGGCTGGGCAGCTTTCTCAGGCCCTGCTCCTTGTGCTTTTGGGAGAAAAAGAGCCCAGCAACCGCCCGCCCCATGCACCCCCCCGCCCCCACTCCCCTCCTGACCTCTCGCTCATGGTCTTCATCTCACTGAAGTGGCGCCGGAAGCCCACCACCTGCCTCCAGAGGGTCAGCAGCCGGCTGTGCTCGTTGCTGAAGTAGGTGTTGAAAGACTGGGAGGGGAGAGGAGAGGAGAAGCAGTGACAGCCGGATCCCCCTCCCCAGGCACCACCACCCCCCCAGCGCTGCCAAGGGCCTGGCCAGCGCACCCCGGGGGAAGCACAGGGCACAGCAATGCACTCGCTGCCTGGCTGGATACAGAGCACCCGGCTTTGATCCCCCATAACGCCCCACAAGCCCTGCTCCGGGGGGTGCCCTGCACTGCTCTCGCTATCCCGAAGCGCCGGCGCCGCTGACCTCAATGGCAACTCCAGGCAGGACTCTTAGCAACAGCTACGTTTATACAGAGCTTTTGATGCGGCAGGACCCCCTCCCCCCCAAAGGGCTTGACCCAGCTATGCACAGGCAGCACCACTGAAATGCAGCCACCTCTGGGGTGACGCAGTGACCGCTGGCCCGGAAAGGCCTGGAGCAGAGAGACTTGGCTCCCACTGAGGGTAAAAGGAAGTTGAAGGGGAGGGGACGAACCACCTCTCCAGGGACTGGGGCAAAGGAGGTGTCCTATGGCCGGCTCCCAGCAACGTACTGCGCGGCCTACAGCCAAGGCGCTGCCTCTCTGGGCCAGCGTGAGCCGCCCTGGCAGCATGTGTGCAAATCTGTCTGTGCCCAGTAGGACAGTGCCCACGGGACGGGCATGCACCAGGGAGAATGACGCATGCTAAGCAGGGCATCTCTCCGGCCCTAACCTCCTCCTCTCGCCTCCACTCCACCTCCCGCTGCTCCAGCTCGTTGCGAGCTTTGGTCCAGTCGGTCGTCAGCTTCCGGATGTCCTCGCTGAGGGCCTGGTTGGCGGCATTGGCCTGGTCCAGCTGCTCCCGCAGCATGGCGTTGACCTGGGCCAGGCTGGCACTCCTGGAGACGGGGACCCAGCGAGAGCGTCAGCACCGACCGAGAGCGCAGGGGCTGAGAAGGAAAAGAGGGGCCCGCGCACAGGTGGGAAGGGACCGACTCTGGCATGGGGCAAAGGGCCCAACGTGGAGGATGGGCCCTGGTATCGCAGCTCTGAGACACCAAACAACACAGATCCAAACACTTCCTTCAGAATAAGACAGTCACTGCCCAAGTCGAGCACCTTCCAGCCAAGCGCCTCCTGGCCCTTTCCAGACCTTAACTGACCCCGACATTAACTGACCCCATTGTCAATAAGGGAGCTACAGGGATCTGATGTTCACCCACCACCGCCAGGCAGCCACCTCTGGGGCGCAGCGTTGCAGCTGCACACAACAGGAAGCAAAAAAAGAGCCCATCCAATCCAATTTGCAGAGGAGATTTGGGGAAGCCCAACGTAATAACCTGTGAGGGAATTTGGCAGCGAGGCTGAAGAGAACACCCTGACTCATCCAAAGCACCAGGGGACCAATAGTGAGCACTAGCGCTCAGGACAGCTTCACGCCGCAAAATACACGGCACTTCCAAAGCACAGCTGCTAGGGATTAGTAGTGCAGTACTCGGGGGGGGGGGGGTAAACGCCAGCGACACCACTGCCTACAGTAACCAGGCGTCCTAGGAGGTCACCTGTCCAAATATGAACCCAGCCTGACCCTGGGTTAGCCGGGGAAGCCAGACAGGATCACAACCCGCAGGGAAATGCTGGGCCTACGTGCAGGCGATGCCAGGAGCCCAGATTCCAATGGTAGATTCCTGGCACAGCTCAGGCTCCAAGGAAGGTGCCCTCTCGTTCTCCCAGCCCAGCATGAAGCCCAGCCAGGCAGAAGGTGCAATAGAGGCCCAGAAGCATGGGGTTCCGAGGATGCAGCTGCCCAGACCCACCTGAGCCCCAGGTGGAGCCCCATGGACAGGACCCCTCCCACCACCACCCCCGACACACCTTTGCTGCTCCTCCTCCAGCCGGATGAGCGCGTTCTCCAGGTCGTTGCTGTGCTCTTCGTCCTGGCGCAGGCGCGAGTCCGTCATGTCCAGCCGGCTCTGGGGGAGGGAGTGGGCAGTGGCTGCTTAGCAGGGGGCCGGGGGCCCTGGAGAACCAGGTCGGCCCTTCGGCCATGGGATGGAGAAGGGCAGCGCGGGGCAAGCGCCCCCCAAACACCACCCCAGCCCTGCCGGGACCCCCCTCCACGAGTCGGTCAGGCCTGGTGCAGTCTGGGCTCCCATCTATCAGAGCAGGAACCGGCCTGGGGGGTGGGGGGGGAGAGGCAGGCTCATTCCAGCAGGTCCAATCAAGCAGGAACACGAGAGGCTCCGCCCACCATGACTAGGGTTACCATACGTCCGGATTTTCCTGGACATGTCCGGCTTTTTGGGATTCAAATCCC